ATCGTGTAAAAAGACAGACCTGAACTACCCCCACCCTTTAAATTAAAAATCAATAATAGATAGAAAAATACTTAAATATAACAAGATATAGGGGGTGGAGGTATGTTAGTGGGGTGTTTTTGACCTTAGGCTATGGTTAGTGACTACATGACTACAATCACAAAATTGTGGATGGGAAGACCATCGACCCATCTGATGACCAACACGAAGGGATGTTACCTGCCGAGAAAAAACTTACATACTAGCATGATAAGGTTCTTTTGTTGCAGGCACGTTCTTCTAAATTTAACAATTTAACACTGCGAATAACAAAAATGTTTATAGCGTTGTGAGTAAAAAGAAAAAAAATATTCGCCCATAATAAAAAAATCTTCGTGATATTGTCTGAGAGGGTAAGAATAACATAAATTTTGAATCCATGAAAATTATCGTACAATTTGCGTACGATAATAATATGATATCGTACATCGTACGTAGACATGAAATTATCGTATGTGTACGATAATTATCGTACGGTTCCGAACACTGGTACCTAAACAGAAATATCTACACAAAGGGGCACAACCACTTGCCATCGGATGACTTCCCGCTGTTACATTTATGGTCATGCCGTTCGGTGTATAACTTTAGCAAGTTACAATAAATGGGTTTAAAGTAACCTAGGACATAAAGACATCTACAGGGTGTTGAGGCATGAAATATACGTTTACAGGGGGTGAACACTATGTACACACTTTCCTTTTCCTATCGTTTTCTATATTGTTAACCGTAAAGCTAGAAAACATGGTAGGTAGTATATATATTTATCTTCCCTTTCGGGCATACGTATGTTAACCTCTGCATTACTTAACAATATCGGATTTTGTTAACGACCGGGATTTATCAAGCGGACTCCAACAATGCAGTCTTGATAAATCACAGTCGTTAACAAAAGACAATGTAATAAACTTGATCAGACTTCACCAACAGGCAATTTGAGATACCTATAACGTACTTTATACGGGGCATTAAATTAATTTTGACCGATAAATATAAAAATAAAAAAGTTAAGGAAGAGAATACAAAAAGAATCGGGTTGATGAACCGAGGGAACTGGTTTTGGGATGGTAACATAACCATTTAATTTATCTGAGACTATAAGTACATGTGCATCCTACATTTAGTCCATACGATGTAGTGGTCACTTTTTAATTACAATCCGAATGTCTGTAATCAAACTACGAGTGTGAGTTATCATTTTGCGTCGGTATAACGCAACGTTCGAAAATGTGGCGGTCACAGGGGCTGTTTTTTATGATCGCCATTCTAATCCAAGCATGCAAAAGTGATGTCAATGTAACTACAGATGGCAGTAGAAGAGCCAAACTCCTTATTTATGGTTCTGATTACGATGGTACGCTTGGTAATATTGACATTGTATCATCATCCTCATCATCATCATCATCATAAGATCGTCAGTCCTAAGACTGGTTGGATACGCACTCTTTCCTATCCTAAGCTAATCTACGCATATCCCTAAAACTAGAACAACCAACATCCTTAACTATTTGTGAACAGTGATCTAATCTAAATCTACCTCTACTCCTCTTAAATCCTGTTGCTGCCTCTAATATGTCTCTGACAAGACCTTCATGCCTGAGAAGGTGTCCTACCAACCTATCTCGCCTGTTTCTTATTGACTTCGATACAGTCCTCTGTTCTCCTATTCTTTCTAATATCTCTTCATTTCTAACCTTCTCTACCCACGGTATCCTCATCATTCGCCTTTAAAACCACATTTCGAACGCTTCTAACCTTTTCTTTTCCGCCGTGAACACTGTCTATGTTTCGCACCCGTATAGCGTCGCGCTCCAAACATACACCTTTAACAACCTTTCTAGAATTTTTAATAAACCGTTCGCAAGCAAGCGATTTCTTTTTCATCTGTTTTATATCTCTACTGCTCCTTCCGCCATGACTTATCTGACTTCCTAGATATCTAAAATCGGCCACTTCTTCTAATTTTTCGTCTCCTATCTTTATATTCTTTCACTACTTTTTCTTCCCTTGCATACCAGTATTTTTGTTTTACTTTTATTTATTTTCATACAATACAGTTTTGTCAATACCGCTTCCATTTTATTTAAAGCTA